CAAGGCATGTGTCCTACAAAGTCAACACATATTGGAGGTCCTATAGAACGTCGCCACGTAGCCCCTAGTTAGATAGTATATATAGAGATAAGAGTGAAGGTTTCTTCATTCTTCTCAACTCCTTTCTTGCTTCTAGTCTAGTTTCAAGGGTCTCTAGTTTTCTTGTCTTTTGGCAATAGCCATTCCAGTTTCTCTTTCAATATATATACTTATTTATATATATTTTGTTACCTCTCTTTGAGTGAAGGTTCACTTGTTTGAATTATTTTTTCATCGAATTCTTGTCCTTGACACCCTATAATATTTACCTCTAATTCTCAAATACCTTTTGTAAAGTTGCCAAAATTCTTATTATGGTTGTAGACATCTTCTTGAGAGCCTATTAGGCATGGCTTCCAATGAATAGAGATGAAGATCTTTACTCCTTACCTTCATTCATCCATACCTTACTTTCATCCTTTCAAATAAATTTCTTAGAAGTTTAGATCTTTATCTTTGAGCTCCAATCTTCTTTTTAAATTTTACACTAAATTTTTAAATCTTATATAATTTATGCACTATAATTAAAAAAAGGTAAATCTCAAAATAAATTTTCTTACATCAACTCTCTTTAAATTAATGTACTGAATATTATAATATACATCAATACTTATAAATATATTATATATTTTAATTAATTTTTACATACTATAAATAATTATAGTACAACAATATGTAAAGTCAAAGCTGCATCTATGAAGCTTCTAAAAAATATATCTACATAATATTTTCAAATTTATTTGTTTTAATCTACTTCTATCTATTTATATTATTTAGATGATTATTGGAATAAATATATATCTCTATAATATAAATTTTAAAAAATATTCAAAATCATAAATATCTAATAATTAAAAATTCTTTGTTATACCTTATATCATAGAATAATGTACTAATTCTATTCAAATATGTTAATCTGAAATACAAAGAAATTATAATCTAACTATAATAAATTATTATAGTTACTTTCATCTTTATTTTAAAATTATTAATTAATTAATATTAATATTTTTATATTTATAGTAAATCACTTAAAAATCACAATCTAAATAAATGCATCCATATTAGTTATTTTATAAGAAAGCTATAGAAAATCAAAGAATCAATCATGATTCTCTCTATGAAATAAAAAAACAACAAGCTTTCTTATTGGATTTGCTGCCTCTAAAACTACTTTAAGCTTTTTTCAAATCTCATAAATCTTTTAAATCCTTGTAAATCCTTTGATTATATCTATGCATGTTAATCTATATAAGCACTCGTAATCTTGCTTCTTGCATTGCAAAAGCAGACAAAATATTTTATTCATACTTCTACAAAATCTTTCTTGTTTAGCAATCTATACACAAGGTCAATGTCTCTCTTCAATATTATGATACTACTCACAATTGTGATTTATTTATTTATTTTATTTTTATTTTATGTATATTTACTACATTTCAAAAGTCTTGCTTCTTGGATAAAACTAAAATCTTGATTTCTTATAAATTAAGATATTTGATTATTTTTCTATTATTAATTTTGTATCTTTAAATTGGCTTCCATTTTAAAATATTCTTCACAAAAAAATTCAAAAAAAATTCAAAATATCTAAAAAATAATAACAACATCAATTCTAATATTTTATTTATTATATATATATATATATATATATATATATTCTTATAAACCAATTAATATCCATATTCTTTATATTTAATTATTCATATCTAAAATTCACACAACTATCACACTAATATTTTTTTATATATCAAATTTTGTTTAAATAGCTTTTTGGTATTTCCAAAAATTCACATATATTCTAAAAAATAGAAATTTAATTCCAAAAAAGAATTTTAAGTTATAAGGAGATAATTGCCATGTATAGAGTTACTCTCTTTTAGTTTTATTTTATTTTTATTTCTTTTATATTCTTTAAAGTTAATATTTGACTACCTATGAATTGATATCTTACTAAGATGCTTTTCATGCTACGACATTTTAACCAAGTTTTTATTTAATAATTTTTATTATTTTTTACTTTTAAATTACTTTATTTAAGATTTTTTTATACTATTTCTCTCTAAATTAGTTTATTTAACTTCTTATTTATATTTTTAATCCATCAATATATATATATATATATATATATATATAGAATTTGTAATATATAGAAAACCTTACTAATTTTTTAGGAAACTTTTTAATATGATGTCTTTTATCATACTAAACTAAATACCTATGTCTTTAATTTTTATTGAATAAATATTTCTACTACAGTAGTATTACCTTTTTGAGATATAAATTTACAAAATTGGTAAAAATACTTGAGCAAGCTTTAAAGATATATCCACATTCTTTTATATAATAATTACAAGTAATATGAACAATAAATTCATATTTTTATTTTTTAATGACATACAATATTTTTTTTATAATAAAATTGTAGTTTTTCAAACCAATGTATTATTCTTCAAAAACATTATTCATAGAAGGTATTAGAAAAATAAAATTATACTAAAATTTTGTAGATGTGATTCAATGCTATATTAGAAAATATAGATATAATTAGTAATATGTATATATATATATATATATTAAAAATGAATCATTAAAATTTATAAGTTCTAAATACATATTATTTTTTTAATTTAATTTTAATGTGAAATAAAATCTATAAATTTTTTATGATAAATAATTTAAAATAAATATAAAAAATAAAATTGGATGTTAAACTTATATTCATAATTTAAGAAGTGTATTTATAATCATATATATATATATATATATATATATGATTGATGCATATTAGAAGAAATCAGTATTTTTTCAATAATTTATTATGTATTTTAATTGAAACTTAAGGTTTATGGCCTATTTTTCTTTAATTGTGTCAATTTTCTACATTCATTTCTTTTTTGTATTAAAAATATTTGATCTTCAATTGAATAAATTCAAATATGTTAGGCAAAAAGAAGGTATTTTCTATGAAATGGTTGTATTCATTTTAAAATCTTATCACCATTCATTTTAATATATATTATTCAGTGTATAATTTGTGTCAAAACTATATTTCAACTTCTCAATTCTTTCCTAAATATTTCAATATTGTCATAATATTATGATACCCATATTATGAACAAACATAGTTTTATTTTGTATTGTCAAACATTCAATAAGGTGTTTATAGCAAAGACTAGCCACTTCACAATCAGATTTTTATATTTAGAAGAAAAAATAAGATAAACATTAATCTCATGATTAGCTATCACAAGGGCTATGTACTTCTTGATGAATCCCAAGCTTACAAATGAATTGTATTTGATGACATGAAAGTCAAGTAAGACTATTAAGATGCACTTTGCAAATAAGAACTTCTACAAGACCAAGATACTACCAACAATCATGACTTAGGAGGATAAAAATTCTAAGCTTTACTTTCATGTGTGATACATGAAGTACAATAGTTAATGGACAATTACTTTCTTCAAAAATCTACAAGGTGGGTGTATGAAATAAGTTAATGTGTCTTAGAAACTAAGAATTTGTATTGTAACTAAGTTGGAGTCTTTCATTTGTCAGCAATAAATAAAATCTTGGTTTTATGTAAAACAAGTAGAAAATAAGCAAATTGTAAGGGAAGACGAAGAAGAAAGAGGAGAACTGGAGAAACAACAAAAACAAGATGGAGGAGGGGGGTTAGGGCAGAAAGTGAAGCTGCCCAGCCTTGTTAGGCCCAGAAATCCAAGCAACGAAGGAAGGGGGAGATTTTCTGGCAGAGAGTGAGTGAATGAGTGAGTGAGTTTTTGTTTTACATATATGTATATATATATAGATAGATATATATAGATTTTTTTTTTATTATTTTTTTTGTAATACCGCAACACCCTCTCTTCTCTCATCATGCGCATCCCCTCCTTTCACTGTGTCCTTTCTCCGAACTACCGCATCTTGAGTACTGGAAAACGAGTTCTGTATGTGTGTTTGTGATGGAGTGTTTTCCGGGCATCTGTCATTGGACTGTGGATTCCCCGATCATTTTTTGCTGAATTGTGTACTGAGAAGAGGAAATGGCTGCTCGTCGGAATTCAAAGGTTCAATTGCATGCATACCAGCCACCTCTTCAGTTTTCAGATATGATTTCGTTATAGCAAAGGAATTTTTTTAGAAGACATGAGAGAAGTAGGGGACATGCCTAGAAGATATTAAATGTTAAGAAAAGGAGAAAAATTTACTTCTATGCTCTAAGCGAGAGAGAAATTAACTAATTACAATGCAAGTCAGCAGGTTTTTATTTTATGGGTATTCTTAAAGCAGATGGGTTTACGGAGCAACGTGGTTCAAGACTTTCAATACTTTATGGATGTCAGCACGTTTAATTACCATTAAGAAGAACCTCATGTGCAACATTCCAAGTAAGAGTAAATGTACTTTTACCTCTCCGTGAAAATTAGAACTGAAACGCAAGAAATTTCTCAATACAAGGTCTAGATTCTCTCGGGTTTAGAAAACTAGAAACCACGTTCATTCTAACGTCCGATGAATATGAAGATGATTTTGATAGCAGAGTTTCTCAACATCATTTAAATATTGCTCGCTTGACACAATACAAAGAAAAAAATAAGAAATATCCGCAGAAAATGAGTCCAACGGGATTCGGACCGGCGTGTGAATGAGGGTAGCCAAGATCATCTACCATTCCCGAGGAGGAGAACGACGCATGAGTAACAACACAAGCTGGAACAATACAGACTGCAATGGAGCGATGGAGGATCCGGAGCCCCCTTTCTCATTTTTTTCCCCGTCGTCGAAATGGATGGACGAACTGTCACGCCCAGATTCTATCCACAAGCACGTCAGCAAAATCATTTTGCAGTGCAAAAGGAATCCTCTTTCAGTTTAGAGCCAATAGGAACTAGACAGTAACAGAGTTGCTGGGTCAAGGTAGTGGGGCTTGCAAAGCTTGTGATCCCCAACTCAAGGAGACTTTGGGCTTGCGAGTGCCGTCCTGAGTAGCCAGCCATCCCCTTGCAGGCATGAATATAGAGGGGCGGTGATGCTCGCTCTTGGAGCAATGCCACCCCATCACTCCCTCTTCCTCCTCTTCACTTTCCATTCTGCTCTCGTCTTGTGCTTCAACGCCATCCTCTTTCTGACCCACCTCCAGAGCTCTGGCTACTTCTCTGTGTTCTGGGTTAATGATTGCGTAGACAAGTTTTGGCTTGCACTTCAAGGTGGACGTTGCTTTTTTTCTAGTTGTGCAGGTTCTTTTTTCGGTAGCAATAGATTGCTTCTGGATAGGTTGTGAGGGAGCTAGAGTAGGACCAAGAGCATGATACTACATACCGTTGAGCTCGTTTGTCTACAGTAGTGACTGTTGTGCGCACTCCTGCACATATGATACTCGTGGAGATTCCTTTCTCTCTTTGTTGTTGGTTTTATTTTTACCCAAGTGCTCCTGCTGTAGTGGTTGCAAGCTGCGGCGGGAGATGGTTCTTGTGTCTGAGTGAGAGGGGGAGTGCGTGCGTGTGTACCATTTTGTTGAGGTGTGCAGTGGAATTGTGGTAGAGTTTGAAGGTGGTGGATGCGGCCACCATGGACGTAGTGGGTGGCGTCATAGTGGCCGGGCACAGCAGCAAGATGGGGAGTTCGGGAGTGTCGCGTGGAAATTTGAGCGGTACAAAGCGCAGTTTCTGGGGAGGGGACAACTACAACGAGGATTTCACCTCGTCTTTGATGAAGCAGGGAGAACCACCACAGCGAAGCTTGAGGTCAGGGTCAGAGTTTCATTCTGGGCGATGGGGGCTGAACACGACGATGAGGAGCTGCACCCAGCGGAGTGAAATGGAAGCGAAGGGTGGGATGGGCAGTGAGGCCGACCTGTGGAGCGTCTTGAACTGCGCAACGCTTAAGAGTGGGATCTTTATTGTTTCGGGGGATGGGTTGACCAGGGCGAGACATGAGGGAATTCCGGAAGGGCGCAAGGGAAGTGTCGAGGTCAAGATCGATTCATTGACGACGGAAACCATTAGTTGTGAACAAGGGTCGATAAACTCCGCATTGTCTGCCAACGAGGAAGGGTTCAGTTTTTGGGCCTCGGCACCCCACACGTATAGATCTTACTTGCTTAAGCCTTTAGATCCCTTTGTGAATATTACCACTGTAGCAGCTGATCTATCTTGCGGTGGAGTACACTGCAGTAACTCTCTAGAAGCAAACAAAGACATACAGAAGGCCCTTATGTTTGGAGATAGCAGCCTCTTTCTGAACCCCCCCATCATAGCTACAGTGCACAACGAGGGGGAGCCCTTGCAAAAGTGTGCCACTGTTATTAGCTCGCAAACGCAATCTCAAAATGCGGGGAAGCAGGACGTTGGGACTAGCTCGGGGAATACGTTTGCAAGTTTAAGTTCTGTCTTTATGGATGGAATCTCACCCACAAGCACTAGGGAATTAGTTGCTCCCTTCTTCCGGGACAACATTTCGGCGTTTTCAAAGCCTGTATAGACACCCAACCTTCACTTAAAGTTTACAACTTTCTCTATTTAGTTTTTTGTCAGATCATGGCCACAATCAGCCCCTAAGAATCGGTGCTTCTTAGCGTAGGCATTTGTTGGTCACGTTCTCTGTCGTTTCCTTTCCTTTTCTAGCGGATGCTGTTGCTCTGTGATGCAACACTCAATTAGCCTGCGAATTATTTTACCCTTTCTTGACAATAATTTTTAAAACTATTTTGTAGTTATTAGATCAGCAGCATTCTTGTTTAATAATGTGTTCGTTTGTACCGTCTGTTCACAGCTTTGTGACATCCTGTGTGAAGGTGTGGTCATGGGTAGATCCGCTTAGATTTCTCTTGAGGAAGGAGCTCACCGTTACGGACGTCGGCGAACTGGGTCGCATCGTACTCCCCAAGGTATAAAGAGCATTTGATTTTGTCCAAGTTTGTCGGATTCGTTTGCTTCTATTTCTGGTTATGAGGGTTCTAATGGCAATTAATTATTTTGGACAGAGGGATGCGGAATATCAACTCCCACGACTAGAAGCCAAAGAGGGAAAGCTGCTAACTATGGAAGATTACAACTCTATAAACAAGTGGACACTACGGTACAAGTGGGTGACTGGTTTCGACATTACGTCGCCGAACTTTTAGACCTATGAAGCAATAGACGCTGCAGCTACAATGTTCAACTTAATCTGATGTGATTATCCTTTTGTGTTGGTTACAGATGGTGGCCCAACAACAAAAGCCGAATGTATATATTGGAAAACACAGGTGCATAGCCTTTTCCAATGCCGTTTTTTTTGGGAATGAAATATTTCCACACTTCATGTCACATCTTAAAATACTCTTCTTTTGTTTTAATGAGTTTGGAAGTGATGTTTGTCGGTGCTTACAGCATATTTCGTCAAATACTACAACCTCAGGGAGAAAGACGAAATCATTGTCTACAAGGATGCCCAAGAGAAGCTGGTGAGCATCACAAGCTCAACTTTCATGATCACATATTTACTTCTCTCTCAAAACCAGCTTGATGTCGACTAATCTAAAACCACTTTTTTCAAAGTATAAGCGGGATGTTCAATCATGCATGTGTCTGTCAGGTGATTCGAGGTAAAAAAGGACCATCTTCAGCATCGCCGGGAACGTATCCTTCATTGAGACACTCAGGCTTCACAGGCATGAACCTAGAAAAACGTGCTTCAAAATGCATCTACGGTCGGTCGAACATCCACAAAAGCAATCCAACGGCCTCCAGCTCTTACTCATATGCACTCCCAGTGTGGTCTAACAACACAAACGCTAGCTTAAATTCATTCGAAAAGCCATCTCCACACGGGCTAGCCATGGATTTCTCCACGGGAGAGTTCAAGTGCAGCTAGGTGGAGTCCAAACAGCCCATGCAGTATTGAATATCTTACATACTTGTCGCTGAATAAGCATCACTCTAGTGGTTGCATTGTGCATACCTTTTCAGGACAGTATAAGGTAGGGTCTCGTGGTGGTAGTGGTGGTGGTGTGAGGATGGGGCTGAATTTCCGGACCAGTTAATGCGTTAAGGTCATACAAAAACTCACAACAAACGTGGCCTCTATAGTTGTGCCAAAAGTTGATTTTCGCTTGCGAGGGTCATGATTTTTTCTAATAATATTAGCTCACGTTGTATAGCTTATTAGTAGGAAGAGTGTGGCTCTTCAACTTTCGTACAATTCATTCATCTCTTCTTGTTTAATGAAAGAATGGATTTTGTTTGATCATTTCTGCTTAATGCAAAACATTTAGCAGAAACGTATTTTCTACTAGTAGGTTCTATTTTATTGATTGTTAATATTCTGTAAAATTTTAATGTTTAGTATCTGAATATTCATTAATTAACATCTTGTTTTTTATGTGGTTGCAACATTATTATTACTTTGTTTATCAAAATGTAGTATACTTTTAATTTATATTAAAAAATAAAGTAGATGAAATTGAACATTGTAGTGTATCTTCATTATAAATAAATTATTTTGCCCAAAACATTCAATGAAATCATGCTAATAAGCAATATCTATCTTATAGCCTAGATATTTGTCTTATATTGAGCAAAAACAAATATCTAATATTTTAAATAATTAAAGATCTTAAAACAAAATATAAAAATATATGTATAAATTAATTTATATGTATTAATATATTTGCAAAATATATATAAATATCTAGATATTTTACTTGGTGCTCAAAATTTATTTAATATATTTCATTTAAATAAATAAATAATTTTAGAATAATATAAATTATAATTATTGATGAAAAATGAAAAGATGTCTATATATATATATATATATATATATATATATATATATATGCACAAATACATTCGTATATATATAAATAAGATGGATTTGGATTTAATAATAAATAAGTTAAATATGGCTTGTTTTTTAAATACTTAAATATTTCTAATAAATAGGTCTTATAGCTTTAGATTTTTTATTTTTAATTTATATTTTTATTCTTTTAAATAATTTTCTATGAAAATTTGATGTATTTGAGTAGATATAAAAATCTTTTACATTCATATAATTATCAATGTGCTTTAATATTTTTAAAAATATATAATATTTTATTAAAAAAATATTACATTAATAAAAAATATTCTAAATCTTTTTCATATTATTATATATTCAAAATAATTATTTAATTTAGAGCTTTTGATTAAAATTGCAAAAATTATGGAAGTTTATATTTTGTTATAAGCATCTTTATTTGTAGCTAAAAGATATTTAATCAAGTTCTAAAAGAATACATGTGCTCTATAATCTACTAGCAAAAATCTCTTGCATATTCATCTATGCTCTTGCATTTCCATGTACCCTTGTTCCTATGTTCACATATTTCTTGGTTCTTGGGTTTCCCTTGTTTTCCATGTTCCCTTCTTTATGCCCAATCTTAAAACTTCTTTGTCTCTATGTATTATACCCAAGTTGTCTTACGTAATAGATAGTGAATGATATATAATTTGTTACCTTTAAATATTCTTAAAAAAAAATATCATTTGTTTTTATTTGATGATGGATTCTTAAAAAAATGCTAAATGTAATCTCAAATTTGAGAATAATTTGAGTATTTTGAAAGATTTATAATAAAAATAGAATAATAAATAATCTAAAATATGCTTATTATAATTTTTTTTTTGATAATGAGTATTGTAAAGTGGTCTAATAAAAAAAATAAAAATAAAAGAAAGTGCATAAATAATAACTAATCAAATAAAAATAATTTTAATCTAATAGTTAAAAAGGTATAAATACATATTTTGTGACTTAAAAATATGTTTTCAAAAAAAATATGGTGCTTAATATTTACTTTTTGTATCAAATTTCAAATGAATGCAAAGATTTTTTTTTATACAAAAATTGGGTAAAAAATGGGATCTTTTAAGTTTTAATACGAATAAATCTAGATGTTCTATATAGTATATATTGGTTTCTTTGTGTAGTGTTGTTTTTCTAGATCAAAAAGAAAAAAATGATTTCAATTTCTTTAATTTTCTTGACTAAGATAATTTGATATATATATATATATATATATATATATATATATATATATTTATTAGGTTATTATCAGTAATTTTTAAACTGATATTGTACTATTAAAAATCATTAGAATTTTACAACTAAATTGATAAAAAGAAATTTATGTAATTTATTCAAAATCTAATAACTATATATCTTAATTTTATAGCAAAAATTATTTGCCTACAAAGACTATACTACAACATATATATAAAATGCTTAAAATCTGAATTTTTCTAGGATTAAATAAAAATATTCTTAGTAAAAAATCTTATTAGATGATGTGATAAATGTTTTTGGACTAAAAATGCTATCAACACTTATATGTCACGGCCATAATCATGTAAGCTAATAATTACATATAGAAATAGGTAGAAGTAAGTAAAAGTAGATAAAAGTAAGTTAATTCTATAATATTTAATATAGAAGCTTCCTAGAAACTTCCTAGACGCTGCTTTGACTTCATAGGTGTCTTTAATTGACTTTTTGGATTTGAAACGTGGTCAACAAGTTGGCCATGTGCCACACATGTTGTTAGCTTGAAGATCAAGCTAACTATGTGGCCCACACGTAGAAAAACTTGCCTTGTAAGTCAAGGCATGTGTCCTACAAAGTCAACACATATTGGAGGTCCTATAGAACGTCGCCACGTAGCCCCCTAATTAGATAGTATATATAGAGACAAGAGTGAAGGCTTCTTCACTCTTGTCAACTCCTTTCTTGCTTCTAGTCTAGTTTCAAGGATCTCTAGTTTTCTTGTCTTTTGGCAATAGCCATCTAGTTTCTCTTTTCAATATACATACTTATTATTCATATTTTGTTACTTTTCTTTGAGTGAAGGCTTACTTGTCTGAACTGTTTTTTCATCGAGTTCTTGTCCTTGACAGATTCACGAGAGTATACTTACAATATCAGAGCTTTGTTTTTCTTGAGTAAGAGTGGATTATCCCTTTCTCTTGACAAGGCATAAGCGTATTAGAAGTTTGCGGATTACCCACTTCTAAAACTGATATTGTTCTTAGTATCTTCTTTGTTATCAAGTCTTTCTTTTTTTTTGTCTTGAGCAGTATCAAACAAATTTTTCTTCTTAGTGTCATTATGGCAGAGCTTGTTGAAATGAAGAGTGCAATGGCACAAATGCAAGAGCAAATGAGGGAGTTAATGCTTGCGATGCATCAACTCAATTCACCAACACATGAAAGAACAAGAATAGCAGAAAGTGGGGATATAGAGATGATCGGAGCTGCTTCAACATCTACAACAAATCACGTTCCTTCTCGAATTGTACAACACCCTATAAGCACTAGAGAACCAAGAATTGCCTTACCTGAGAAATTAGATGGTACGAGATCAAAGTTTCGAGGGTTCATCAATCAAGTACAATTGGCAATTGAACTTCAATCGCAAAGCTATCCAACTCCAGGATCACAAGTCAGGTTTATTGGCACTCTACTTTCTGGTTCTGCATTATCATGGTTTTCGTCTTTTCTTGAACAACGAAATCCAATATTGGACAATTTGGAAGCTTTTTTGGCAGAGTTTCGATCTACGTATGGTGAACACGATGCAACTCATATTGCAACAAATAAGATCCGAATTGTGCGACAAAAAAATCGCTCAATAACAGTGTATGCTTCACAATTTCGACAACTTGCAATTGACATCAAGTGGGATGATGCTGCACTCATTAGTCAATTTCTTTATGGATTGCAATACGAAGTAAAGAAATTGATGCTCAACTTACCTAATCCTCAAACTTTGAGTCAAGCAATCGATTTTGCGATAAAATGTGATGATCGACTTTTCGAATTTCGATCCGAGAATCATTCATGGGAACCTCAACGTTATTACTCAATGGCAACATCAACACCTGTGCCAAACGTACATTTGGAAGTAGAAGACATGCAAATTGATGCGGTACGTTTCAAACCCCTAACTGAGCAAGAAAAGATTCGTCGTCGTCATGAAGGATTATGTTTATATTGCGGAGAACCTAAGCACACTGCTCAACATTGTCCAAAGAAGCGACGCAACTATAAAATGAGGGGTACGACGGTCAAAGAAGACAACATGTCAGAAAACAGATTCATCCAGCTACAATAGGGACCGTGCAGCTGGAACCTTGTACAATTCCTAATGAAGGTCCTATCCTCTCCTTAGAATCCTCTTCTTGTTTTATAATAGACTTATATTTAGGACCTAAGAATTACAAAGCCTCTGCTTTATTAGATTCGGGAGTCTCAGCATGTTTTTTAGATGAACAATTTGTTAAAAGTCGTAAAATATCCTTTGTACAAAAACCTAAACTAGTACATGTAGAAATCATAGATGGTCGTCCCTTGTCTTCTGGAGATGTCACTCATGAAACTCATCCTATAAAAGTAACAATAGACGGTCATGATAGCTACATAGCTTTTAACATAATTAAATCCCCGTCTAATCTAGTTATTTTAGGTTTATCCTAGCTAGAAAAATATAACCCTCGAATAGATTGGAATTTGCGTAAACTTGACTTTTTCCAGAGCGTTATTAATAGTTCTACTAACCAAGTAAAAAATTATAAGTCTAGTATAGTAAAACTCGTACTTATAGGTGCAAAAGCATTTATACACGCAGCAAAAGAAGGATCAACTTTTGCTATTTATGCTGCACCTATTTCTAAAAGCGTAAAGACTTCAAGTGGCATTCCAAGTCAATATCAGGATTATCAAGACGTTTTTGAGAAAAAAAATGCAGATATTCTTCCTGAGCATCGTCCATATGATTGTTCAATCGACCTCAAGGAAGGAACTCAGCCACCATTTGGACCAATTTACAGTTTATCGCAAGATGAGATGGCTGAACTCAAGACATATATTGACGAGAATTTAGCGAAGAATTTCATACGCCATTCAAAATCTCCAGCAGGAGCTCCAATTCTATTCGTAAAGAAAAAAGATGGATCTTTGCGAATGTGTGTTGACTATCGAGGACTCAACAAGATCACAATCAAGAACAGGTATCCATTACCTTTGATATCAGGACTCCTTGACCAGTTGAATCAAGCTAAGATTTATACAAAAATAGATCTAAGAGGAGCATATAATCTAGTACGAATCAAGGAAGGAGATGAATGGAAGACTGCGTTTCGAACCAAGTATGGACATTTCGAATATAATGTCATGTTATTTGGACTCACGAATGCACCAGCTGCTTTTCAACATCTCATGAATGATGTATTTCATGAATTCTTAGACAATTTTGTC